GATCTTCGCCCCATTTGTGGCGATTTATCCGCTTACAATCCAACTCGCAACATGCAATTACTGTCGAATCCTTGTCAGGTATGTTTATGCTACGACAGTATGCGGAAACTTGAGTCGCCAGATTGGCGCTAGCGCTCAACAGACAGCGAAAGTATGCAGCTGAAATGCACAGCCTCAGAACAGGAACTGTGCGATTTTCTGCGTTACTACAGTGTTTGATTAGCTGTGTAATGCTATGAGAGCCCTGAAGTTCATAACTGACCGCCAGCCTTTCCCACCATTACATGATTCGCTCGATAAATTCCGAACATCAAGAAAAGGGTGGCGATGAGGCAGGTGCGCGCGGGCATGGGAACCATTCCCAGTCAGACTTATCGACAAAGTGAATCAAGGCCGACGATTCACTCGATTCCTCTATTAGATATACAACACCTATCAGCGTCGACTTTCTCACGATAATTGCCTTGGTTGAAGGTTATATAGCCGTGAGAACATCAAGCGAATCGGCACAGTGTTGTAAAGATACAACTACTTAATTAGAGATAAGATCAAGTGGGAAAGCAGGTGAGCACGAGCTGTTGGATCAAATACTTCACTAAAGTAGACATAGACTATCCTCTCATCTCATCAAAGATAAACTGAGAACCATAAAAAAAAGCTTTTCATGCTCGACCGTATTCCCATTTATCAAGTTTCGATAATCTGCACTCCAGGAGTGGGAGCGGAAAGAAGCCGGCATTTGACGGCTAAAGAGCAAAATTTTTCACAATATATCAAATTAATACTTTAGGCGATCCCCTCGCCGGTTTGTCAGTACAACTCTTCCTCCCAAGTGACTAAAATATCACTCCTGAGCTTTACCCAACGAACACCATGCTCAAGTTGCAGTACTTTCTGCAATAAACAATAATCGCGGATTTTGANGTTATAAAGGCTATTCAAAGTTTCAGAGAACCATAACGAGAAAAGAATTCGTGCCACAAATAAGACAAGAGAGTGTGCTCAAAGGAGCAATGCTAAACAATTGCGCCCGCGATATCGATGCCTTTGGTGACCGACCCGTTTTGACCTCTGCATGCGAATAAAAATCCGTTTTTTTGCTTCGCATAGGTCGTATGTAAGTATAATATATATATGCGTATATATGAATGTATCGATCTAGAAGATTCTTCTGAAGCGCCATAAAGATCATCGCAGAGTAAACCATCCGACGCATCATTATAGTAGGGAAAAAGTTGCTCGGTGACACATAAGCTAAGCTGAAAATAGGATTACTTGAGGGTAGAGAACCCAGTATGCCAGTTCAGAAGAATTTTATTTCCAAATTTGAAGCCACGAATGGTTTTCTTGAGTGATCCATGCCGTCCCTGTGAGAATGCCATAAGAAGGCACGTAAACAAACAAGTAGACGATAGTCCATAACTGTACCTCCCTTTCTACGCATGGAGAACACTTGTGCTAAACTGACATTCCATGCATCTCAAGGCTCAATTCGCGATAAAATTACGTCAATAAAAGACCATTGTTGTTGTTTGAGAACCTTTTAGTAACATAGTAACCAATGGCTAATGACACAAATGCTCATTCATGGAAAGATTACCCACTTTTTAATACACATAAAAGTGAAAAAGTCCCATCAGAATGTCATGTGGAAACATTCGTTCCCTCCACAAAATTCACTGAAATTCTGGAATGGCAAATGTAACCCTACGACAGCAATTACCGCAACGATTCATCTCCATAAGTCAACGGACCGTTACTTTCAATCAATGTGAGAGTTTGGCTGAATGTGGTGACCTCGCTACCGCGAAATGGTTTATGCATTGTGCAACTGTTGTTGGTAACCGATATATCTGGCTCGTAGCGAATAAATCCACATTGAACCGCGTTGAATCACCCAGACGCGTCGCAAACTACGACTGTCAATCAAACACCGGTCCATATCCTATTGGCTACGATTCCTGAGGATCCAACATTACAATTTCGGATAAAAGGTCTCACTTCTTCAACTCTCTATTACACCATTCGTTGATTTAAGTTCATACCGTTTCTTAGTTCAAACGACTTCTCTACGTGCATGAAGGCTATAGAATAGAAAGTTCAGTGGTCATCGTTAACAAAACCTAGGTGCCACTGGAGCGACATTCTACTTCAGAAACTACTGAACTTCTAGTCGCTCTCGTCAACTACTCATCCCTGGGTTTTTGGCGAGATCGACAAATATGATGCGTCTCCTCACCAAGTCAACCCTAGATATTGTTTGTTTCACTGGATTTGAACGAATAACAGACATGGACGCGTGAAAGTGACGTCAAAAATCAGTCGCAGCGATGCTGATCAGTCTTGTTGTCGAGAATCTGAGCTCGGAAGAAGCTCCCGAATCAGCTGCTTTTACGAACACTTCTGATGCAGGAAATCCTCCATATTTTCTAGACTGCAGGTGTGTTCAGCATAAGCACTGATGTATCTGTATCATTTTGTGAATCATGCCATAAACGCCTTATGACGGCACTTCGTTGCGGCGCCAGCGCCACCTGGCGGCTGCCAGCTGTTGCGTAATGTTTTCGCATGTACCCGCTACGCAATATTTTATGCGACTCGTTCGGTTACGTGCCGCCTTTGCGCTTGGACAGAAAAGCCGACACAAGCATACGCAAGCAAGCGGCCCCTTAAGGCTTGACGGGTAGGCGAGTCAGCATGCATTGATAGCCAATTAAAAGACGTTGCGTATTACCAGTCTTATGGTTTGCGCTGCGGTATACACAAAACGCCGACAGCGCATGGGCATCGTAAAACGACAACACAGACCCGACTGATAACCCAGCCTCCAAGACGACGCTGTTCCAGTTCCTTTGAGGCTCGAAAAGGTCCCAGACAGTTCATTGTACTAAATGTTTTTTTTTTTCAGATAGCTAATCTATATTAAAATTCCCTGTACAGGATGGGCAAGGAGATTCCACGGAAGCAGTCCGACCTACTACATATGACGCCGTCTCTCTTTCTAAAAATATGTTCTCTTGTCGGCGTATATGAGGCATTCGATACAGATCCCTTTCCAACAATTATAACACCTCATCTCTATGACCCACCGCCGCTCTATTCTTCTATATCTAATAGGTCTCGCCGGTTAGATCGGAGAAAAAATTACTGTCTAATTTCTGTGAGAACACCGCTGTCATCTCCGCTCTAAATTGAACTAGCCGTATTCCATTTAACTACCACACGCTGAAGAGGAATATTATCGAATGTAAGAAGCTGATATAAAAAATTGACTAGTGAAGAAAAAGTTTGAATCTATCGTTTGTTTACTTAGAACCCAGTGGGTGCATCCCAATAAGTTGGCGGCTGGGTAATAAATAGTGTTCAATGGAGCGAAAGTGGTCCTTTCTTTTCTAAATCAGCATTTGGGTCTCCACCAGAAGCGGCCGGCCCGCCATCTGCGATGCACATGAAGCCGACAACGGGCATACCTCTGTGCTTACCAGCATACTACTTCGCTGAATGGCTGGCAGTTCGTGAAAGGACCCAGTATGACTCTCCCAATTTTGATCCTTCTAGGACACATACAGAATTATGGGGACGAAGTGGAGTTCGCGCGGTCATCCCTCGACGTCGTAACTCGTCAACGACAATCGCTCACATTTTTCTAATCGGACAAACTCGTTGGAAGATGCTCTCACTGAAAATGAGAAACAACGAAAGACAAGGAAGGTCACTATGGGCAGTAAGCATTTCAACAAACGATCGAACCCAAACTTCACAAAAAAAAGATCACTATGAGGGACTATTATTTGATTACAGATGATTCAGCTTTGGTTGAGGAAAATCATCAGACGTAGGTCTAAACAAATGGGCCAGCACCTTAATGTATGCAGATGTGCTAAGTTCAAAGATGAGCTCCAGCTGTACCCCTTATAAATCGCTTCATTACCATCCACTGGACACAGCCGCACTCTCTTCACGATTGAGACGGTCGGACATGGATGCTCATGAAAGTGAGCAAGAAACGAATGCAGACAGCGCTCCGAAGATTTGTGTCAGAATTCAAACCATCAGGCCTATGCAATTGTTCAACCGATACACTCTACAGATGGAAAAGCACTACTATAGTTAATGTGTGCAGTCCAAATACCTGCCTATGAGAGATTTGTTGATAGAAAAGACATGAGAGTTGAGTAATTTGAACCCTAATACCCCACACAGGTGCATTGGTTGCGCAACGGTGCAACCACCGACGAACGATGTCGCATCATAGAATTTCCATGAATGTAACTGTTGCTCTAGTCCTTGACCGAGCCCCAACCTAGTGATTTTTACTTTTTCAATACATAGGAGACAGTCAGAAAATATGAGAATGTCTAAAAATCTGACATGAACCTTGTTTGGTGTCCCCAAAGGACTTTTTCGGGAAACATTCCACCCACCAACCCTTTATTACTCAATCGGCTTTGACTAGTTTCCTTAACCCTCACATACGCTCCAAATGCGATGACTCTAGTACTCCCGCTATGAGGTCGCAGAATATGAGCCTCGTTTTCTGTACTATGAGTGGAGGGGTGGGCAGCAACTGATAATCACTACGGTTGCGTAAAAGCCTAAAAGAGAAACTCTGTAAAAGTTGGGGCGCTTCGTATTATGAACCCTTCGGAAATAACGTTAGTAGAATGGTGGCATAAAAAGTCACGTCTCTGTATGGCTTCTTAAATTGTTTGGAGAAGCAAGGACAAGTTCAGAAGGCTGCTCCGAGTGGTACAGTGACAAGTCTCCATATCCACAAAGGAACTCAGATATCAGAGAAATGGTGGGAAACATATCACTACACAAAAGGAGCAACAAAGAGTTAATAGATTTATGGTAAAGGAGAGCAGTTAAACAACACATAAAACCCGCTGTAACATCACAGATCGCGATAAAATGACAAAGTCAAGAAGACGATGTAGCGGAAATAAAACACGACAGCATAAACGGCACGCGGAGAGCCATTTGGAAAGATAACAAGATCAGCGTTGCTTTTCGATAGATCGTCTCTTCTTCCTGATAAACCGAGACGAAGAAACTGTCGAGCCGGGAGGCAAAACTGCCAGAGCCTCTGCAAAAATAACTGATTATTTACCCTGCCCACGTTTCTACTCTTCGAGGAGAGCTTTGCTCTCACTCGGGGCCTCAACACGCAATAATCGTGGAGGTCGTGGGGTACTGTCGATAACGATATAATTACAGGTCTTGACGCCACGAAAGGCTACGATATAGCTGACTGACAATGAGTTACGGTAATCGATTTCAGTTGTTCAATAGCGTACTTACCAACAGGAAGGGTTCCGTTGTGGACACGAGCTTCTACGGTAGCCACCAATTGCTGTATGTAGTTAGCAGCGTTGAGGACGAGTTGAGCAGGATCCCGTTCTTTCGCAGCTCGAGGCGGCAACATCGTGATGAGTCGATTCAATTCAGCCTTTTCGTCCTCAGTGAACTCTGGTGGCTTTGTGGACCCTTAAGTCAATTGTGTGAATCGGAAAACTGTTTAAAGAATCGACAGAAAAAAAAAACCACTTTTCTTAGAGAAATGAGTAGAGATACCTCTTTTCCTGATGGATGGGCCCTGAATACCAATTTTACGTGGTGTAAGTTTGACTTTAGGTTGCATGGCCAACACAAAGAGTAGTTGAGGATACAGCGATGAAATGACCGCTATGGAGGAGGTCGCAGAGAGGCGGGCTGTGGAGACGTCAACTGGGCGTGGTCAGCAGGGTGATGCGTGCAGGTGCGCAGCTGGTAGCAGCTGCAATCTGGAACGCGGCCAGACTCATCACAAAGTTTCAGTGAGCATTGTAAAATGTTTGTCTTCGATAGTAATCCTTAAAAGGAAGAGCAGGCAAAAAGTTTGATTCCAAAAATCATCGTGCATAAGAAAACTTCCAATCTCTGAAAGAAGTCAACCGCACCTTCGAAAACTCCTCAGCTTGAATTGAAAACCAAGAGGGCATGCAGTCTGAGAACTATCACCGCAAGTAAAAAAGTATGAAAGTATGAAAATCTCAGTGCTCTAAGGTACGGCTTGCAATAATTCTTTTTGTGCTATTTGAAAAGTTTATGAAGATCGATAACAGCTGCAGCAATAACAGCTCTAGCACCGAAAATGTGATAAGAGAGTTGATTAGTATGTATAAATTTAAGAACCAACACCACGCGCTACTTGTTCGGAAATTCTGAAATCTGAATTAATTTCGATCTGAAGGCTCTTTAGACATGAGGATGATTTCTAAATGCAAAAGTGAACTAGGGGAACTGTGAAGGCAAGTGAAATTAAGAAGAAGGCGAACATCACCAACTGTGGCTCTCTCTCAAGGAGCAAGCGACCGAAACCATTCACTCGACGACACCAAATTCGAATCAACTCAACAGCACGCTATGAGCCTTGCTGAAAAGCAGTTGTAGCCTGAGGTGCGACATCTGGCCGGTCGAGAGTCGAACCAAACCGCACAGTTGCCGTTTTGAAGCAGCCCCTGTCCGTCTGTCCAACGCCTGCCACCGCCAAACGACTACGAAGTTCTGAAACATTGCAAGGGGAAAAGACACCCACGAAAGAATCCGTCAGATCGGGGAGCAGTACGCCCATTGAAGGCAGCAAAGGAATGTCTATGACGATAATCAATAGCTTTGAATAGTAGACGTCTAACCTCAACGCTTTAAAAAATAATCAGTTATGGCGCTTAGAACGAGCGACAGGAGTTGCGCTGGAGATGGTAAACTTATCTATAGGATGATAACTGTGAAAACTTCTGTTGCTTTTCTTTTTACCTTAAAACACCAAACAAACCAGGGTTTTCTAAGTGAATATGGTCAAAAGATTAGTTGGCCTTATGCAGTATGGAAGATCTACCGAAGAGAATTCCCTCGTAGTTAAAAGTAAAAGACAAGAATAAAGAAATGGACAAAGAAACATGGGAGAAAGTCCAGATAGTAGCACCTCCACCTTAACTCTCGTTCGAAACGAACATGTGCCCGATGGCATTGGTGGTGGGTTTTTTGGTGCTAGGCTGCCGCAGGCCGGCGTTAAATGCTTCCCCAATGAAAATCAGCTGCTAGATCATATGTCGTGCCAAAAGGGGGCCAGCCGCGTCTTGCAAGCCACCAGACCCGGAATGCTCCTCGAGGCGTCTTTACCTTGGTAGCACTAAGCAGATGACTTGGTAAAACATCAAGGAACTTGACTTGAGAAAGGACTTTGAGTGGAGGTGTTGTTGGCGGCTGACGAGTTGTTTGTAATTAATTATAAACGGTACAGAATGTCGTTTGCTAATGGTCTCTCCCGCACTTAAACAAAGTTCCTCGTTGGTTTTTCTCTCAGATAGGGAACCGCATGAGATAAGCTGGCAACACATAGTTCGGCTGCGCAAGTTGAAAAACTAGAAACACTAATTTGAGCTCTTTGAATTGTCATTATTCAGATACTATTGAGATGTTCTCCAGGAAGTATTCTATCTGGAAAACATTTATATATGGGCCCAACCAGTAAAACAAAAGTAAAACCAAACACAAACACAGCGTTGTTCAGTTCCAAGCCGTGATGCTCTCATGCTAAACGCGTACTTGGCTTCTTCAGTGAATTGCAAAAACCATGATGATTAGGCCACTTCTTTTGTTCTAGCAGAAAGGTCCGCACCATTTCGCCAAGGAAGGGCTGGTTGGTCTGTGCGAGTATTCGCTCAGGAACTTGTCCATTCCATTCAATACATGCTGCAACCGTAGAGGTGGTTCGGGATTCCATCTTAGTCCACACGTGTAGTAGCAGTACTACTTGACTAGCCCATGTCCTTCGAGCACCTCGATATAGGAAGCAAAAGTAAAGAAGGGAAACTTAGTGAAGCGGCTTGTTCCCCATCATGAGGCATGTGTAGCATAATTCCGGATGGAAATTAGAATTTAGCAAGCATGCACTCTTCCTTTTTTCTTTCTACACCAAAAAATCTTCTATATAAGATTCTACATAGAAAACTATCGTCTTATTCTTCATTCACTTGAAAAAGAAGAGGAAGGTCCTTAAGCGGGATTGAAAATGATTTGCCCATGTAATCTGAGCGCTCTTTTACATATACAGTGGTAGCGCTGACGTGTGGGAGCTCTAAAACTGCGGACAACTGCCTGGTTCGCGCAACTGTCATTGTCCCTCTTTTCTTAAAATAAACTATGCTTCGTGAGAAGTACCAACACAACTTGTTCTTCGTTATGGCGACAAAACTTCCACTGAAGTGTCCACTGATGTGCTGAAAGACGTTGTTGAAGAACTTTTGTAAAACAAAAATTTTAGATGTTCAAAGGCAACTCTATATGTAGGAAAAAGGATATTATATTGACAGTATTGCAATTATACTCAAAGGACAAAAAGGAAAACGGATTCAAACTGATCCCTGGAAAATACTGCGATTAGTTCTACCATTTACCATACGTAGGGTAGAAGTACTGCGATGTCCTCAAGAACGTATAACCTTCGAAAAAAAAAAGACCAGAAAAAATTCTGTAGTCAAGTGTGCACCGAGGTGGCGGAACTAAAATGAAAAGAAATGGCAAATGCATTCAAGAGCCTTATAGGCCTGGAAAAAAGAAGCTGTGAACTAGACGAAAACGAGTTTTTTATTATTGATAAGATGAAGCGCCCACCGAGGTAGAGCAGGAGCAGAGATGGAGCATAGGTGAAACGTTTCCAAGGCGCCTAAGCCTCTTGAAACGCTCGGCAAAAAGTAGCAAAAAAAGAATTCAAATGCTGCGGAAGGGACATGCAACATATGGGGTGGGTTTGAAGAATCAAGAACACCTTAGAGGGTCTCGCGACAGCGCGGCCGTTGAGCCTATTGTCGATAGAGACTAGCGGAAGATAGGGACCGAATGTCCTAGAAACTTGCCTGGAAGGACATTTAAAGATTACATCAGATCTCAACATTACTCATTGGCTTACTACAGAAAAACGGTTAATATCAATAGAAGCCACAAGAAAGGGATGCTCTCGTTTTCCGCACGGTTTCCCACGAGGCGAGTTGAGCTTGTGCAAAAGAAAGCTGATCCAGTTTAGGTTAGAAGGTTAATTGAAGTAATTCAATTGCACTGATAACTAATCGAAGTCATGGGTTTGCTATCAGGGTTTTTTTATGATGAAAACCATTTTTATTTTTAACTGATTGCAAACAAATTTACACCTTACATGGTAACTCCACTTATCATGAATAAACAGCAATTTATTATAGGTGACATTGGCTACCTTACCACTCGTCATAATAGCAGCATGAGAGATGTATGTAGAGAAGAGGGAAAAACTAGTTGAAAAAGAATTAGCCCGATTTTTTTTGAGTTTGTGAAAAAAGAATTTTTTACGACCGGAAAGTGAGTTTGTGAACCTTATTCATACATACACTACACTGGGGCTGATTTACAACTGGATGTTTCCAACGAAAACAGACATAGGAAATCCCCGACCATGTAAAATCATACCCGCGGTAGCGGTTGACTCATATCAGCATTTGGTGAAAATGTAGTTGGGGGGGCCACCTATCACAATGTTAGTATATCAAGAAATGAACTCAATGAAACGCGTTATGTCGTGTTATATCACGGACATGCCAGTTTTTTAATAAGGGCTCTCGTAGGGAAGAAGCACCGCGGTGGGCAAGTTTTCTTTCTTTTTTGTTTTTTTTTTTNCGGGAGGTAATCATCCTAGCCATCCAGCTGCTCCTACCCTGCCTAGGCTTATTTGGGAAAGTAAATTTCCTTAGCTGACACCGCATAAAAGAACTTAGGTGGTCGATTCCCATCATCCTCTACGCATCCGATACAGTGCTGATATAACAAGGGCTAACACGTTCGACTGAGTTCATTTCTTGATATACTGACTTTCGGATGGGTGGCCCCCCCAACTACATTTTCACCCAGCATTTTTTGAGATTCCCTGATAACTGACCACTCTGTTAACTTCCTTCGAGATCTTCACATGATGTTCTAATGTTCACAAACCTTGCATTTGCCTGAAATTTGCGTTTGAATTTACGGTGGCGCTTATAATGTGATAGCAATTTGAATTGCGATATATATAAATATGCAGCTTGTGAACTGGTCAAAGGGAGAATAGCTTCCGAACTCACTAAAGGTACAGTAACTTCTGCCAGTTGCAAGCCTCGATCAGAATTAGTTTGTCAAAAAAGGAATAGCTGGCGTTGAGAGGGTACGGTAATGTGCGATCGAATTCATGCTGAGCTAGGTACATAAGTGGTGTGAGACCGTTTACAAACGATCACAAAAGAGCCATAACTGGTTGAAGCACTTGCATAAAAGTGTTTGCATTGCGGTGAGATGAGATCTCGTTCCGACGCTCGAGAACAAACGACAAGAACAAAAGACCGAACGACCTAGCACTCTTTAAGGTGAGCCCTTCTACATATACATAGCAGACGGACAAAGGAATAAATACTCTGATGGCCGAATAAATCCCTGGTGTATTTAATATCAACAAAGACTCATAGAGAAGCAGGCAGTCGCTCGAACCTCGAAAGGCCAACGACAGTGCAAAACGTCGTATTCAGCAACTTTTTTTTTTCTAAATAAATGAAGAATCTTGAACAGAAGATTGTATTTGATGTAAATATTGTATAGTAGATG